TGGCTGAGTCCCCCCACAATTAGATTAATTTAAACGATTTAAACGATTTAAACGATTTAATTGGGCCCAACGACGCCTCAATTAAATAATTTAAATAGACCGTAGGATTTAAACGATTTAATTGGGCCCAATTAAATCGTTTAAATCCGACGCCTCAATTAAATAATTTAAATAGACCGTAGGATTTAAACGATTTAATTGGATCCAATTAAATCGTTTAAATCGTTTAAATCGTTTAAATCGTTTAAATCGTTTAAATTAATTTAATTGTGGTGGGAGGTGAGTACAGACAGGCACAGAGCCAATTAAATTATTTAAATCCGACGCCTCAATTAAATTATTTAATTAGACCGTAGGATTTAAATGATTTAATTGGTTTATGGCTTGGCTGAGTCCCCCCACAATTAAATTAATTTAAACGATTTAAACGATTTAAACGATTTAAACGATTTAATTGGGTCCAATTAAATCGTTTAAATCCGACGCCTCAATTAAATAATTTAAATAGACCGTAGGATTTAAACGATTTAGTTGGGCCCAATTAAATCGTTTAAATCCGACGCCTCAATTAAATAATTTAATTGGACCGTAGGATTTAAACGATTTAATTGGCCCCAATTAAATCGTTTAAATCGTTTAAATCGTTTAAATTAATTTAATTGTGGTGGGAGGTGAGTACAGACAGGCACAGAGCCAATTAAATTATTTAAATCCGACGCCTTAATTATTAAAAAAAGTAGGGCGTAGGATTTAAATAATTTAATTAAGCTTTCTATTTAAATAGTTTAATTTATTTAAATAAATTAAATTATTTTTTGCTTATTAAAAAAAGGGAATGAGCTAAATAGACCCGAAAGGCTGCTCTTTCATATATATATATATATATACCCTCTACTACTATGATTCCTACTAAGGGAATGTGAACCCTAAAAACTGGGTCATACATATACCCTCTACTACTATGATTCCTACTACGGGAATATGAGCCATAATCGTCAACCATAAGCCCCTTTAGGGGTTCATTTGGTCCCCAAGGTACCCGCGCAAGCCAGCAGGGAAATTGCCCAGGACTCGCCAGGAACTGTGCTGGCAAAGTTGTCGATGGCTATGGGCGTCTTGATGCGGGGATCTTTGCTGAGTTCGGCCAACCTTGGGGACCAAATTTGAAGCCCTAAAATTGGGGTTTAGGGGGTTTAGGGGGTTTAGGGGGTTTAGGGGTTTGGGGGGTTTAGGGGGTCATACACCCCATACTACTATAATTCCTATGAAGGTAATATGAACCCTAATGTTGTATACTGATTAGTGTGCACCCCCGGAATTGTGAAAAACAAATCGAAAATCATTTTATTCAGGGGGGTCTAATTGAGGAGGTCCCCCGGAATTGTGAAAACAACATCGGGGGGGAAATTCCTTTTAAGTCACATTAGGAGCCCAGCCCTTATTGCCACACTCCCCCCCGCCCCCCAAACCCTAAACCCTAAAACCCTAAAAACCCTAAAAACCCTAAAAACCCTATAAACCCTATAAACCCTATAAACCCTATAACACCCTCTAAACCCTCTAAACCCTATAAACCCTATAAACCCTATAAACCCTATAAACCCTATAAACCCTATAAAACCCTATAAACCCTATAAACCCTATAAACCCTCTAAACCCTATAAACCCTCTAAACCCTATAAACCCTATAAACCCTATAAACCCTATAAACCCTGTAAACCCTATAAACCCTATAACACCCTATAAGCCCTATAAAACCCTAAAAAACCTATAAAACCCTATAAACCCTATAAACCCTATAAACCCTATAAACCCTATAAACCCCATAAACCCTATAAACCCTATAAACCCTATAAACCCTATAAACCCTATAAACCCTATAAAACCCTACAAACCCTATAACAGTTCACCCTATAAAGCCCTATAAACCCTATAAACCCTATAAAACCCTATAATTCCTATAACACCCTAATAAACCCTATAAACCCTATAAACCCTAAAATAAACCCTATAATAAACCCTGTAAACCCTATAATAAACCCTATAAACCCCTATAAACCCTATAAAACCCTATAACACCCTATAAAACCCTGTAAACCCTATAAACCCTATAAACCCTATAAACCCTGAAAACCCTATAAAAACCCTATAAAACCTATAACACCCTATAAACCCTATAAACCCTATTAAACCCTATAAACCCTATTAAACCCTATTAAACCCTATAAACCCTATAATAAACCCTATAATAAACCCTATAATAAACCCTATAAACCCTATAAACCCTATAAACCCTATAAACCCTATAAACCCTATAAAACCCTACAAACCCTATAACAGTTCACCCTATAAAGCCCCTATAACACCCTAATAAACCCTATAAACCCTATAAACCCTATAATAAACCCTATAATAAACCCTGTAAACCCTATAATAAACCCTATAAACCCCTATAAACCCTATAAAACCCTATAACACCCTATAAAACCCTGTAAACCCTATAAACCCTATAAACCCTATAAACCCTATAAACCCTATAAAAACCCTATAAACCCTATAACACCCTATAAACCCTATAAACCCTATTAAACCCTATAAACCCTATAATAAACCCTATAAACCCTATAATAAACCCTATAAACCCTATAAACCCTATAAACCCTATAAACCCTATAAACCCTGTAAACCCTACAAACCCTATAACAGTTCACCCTATAAAGCCCTACAAACCCTATAAACCCTATAAAACCCTATAAACCCTATAACACCCTAATAAACCCTATAAACCCTATAAACCCTATAATAAACCCTATAATAAACCCTGTAAACCCTATAATAAACCCTATAAACCCTATAAAACCCTATAACACCCTATAAAACCCTGTAAACCCTATAAACCCTATAAACCCTATAAACCCTATAAACCCTATAAACCCTATAAACCCTATAAAAACCCTATAAACCCTATAACACCCTATAAACCCTATAAACCCTACTAAACCCTATAAACCCTATAATAAACCCTATAATAAACCCTATAATAAACCCTATAATAAACCCTATAAACCCTATAATAAACCCTATAAACCCTATAAACCCTATAAACCCTATAAACCCTCTAAACCCTATAAACCCTATAAACCCTATAAACCCTATAAAACCCTACAAACCCTATAACAGTTCACCCTATAAAGCCCTATAAACCCTATAAACCCTATAAAACCCTATAAACCCTATAACACCCTATAAACCCTATAAACCCTATATACCCTATAAACCCTATAAACCCTATAATAAACCCTATAAAACCCTATAAACCCTAAAAACCCTATAAACCCCTATAAACCCTATAAAACTCCTATAAAACCCTATAAACCCTATAAACCCTATAAACCCTATAAACCCTATAAACCCTATAAACCCTATAAAAACCCTATAAACCCTATAACACCCTATAAACCCTATAAACCCTATTAAACCCTATAAACCCTATAATAAACCCTATAATAAACCCTATAATCAACCCTATAAACCCTATAATAAACCCTATAAACCCTATAATAAACCCTATAAAACCCTATAAACCCTATAAAACCCTATAAAAGGGCTCATGTCGTCCCCAAGGAGCACGTGGCCTTGAAAGCTAAGGATCTGCCTCCAGATCGTAGCGGTGCTGCAGAGGTTGGGTAGCCCACCCAAGGGAGGCTCATTCCTATACTCCCCTTAGGACCTGAATAAAAGGTTTAGGGTTTAGGGTTTAGGGTTTAGGGTTTAGGGTTTAGGGTTTATACGATCAAAAATACAAAAAATAATTCCCAAGGGGGATATAGATTCATCAGCTCCACCGCAATGACGTTTTCATACTTCTCCCAAACTCCACAGAGATGTCGTACCAACATCATGTAAGGCTCGAAGAACAAGGCTCGGTCACCGTTCTCCGGGGACGCGTAGATCCGGGGCATGACATTCTGCAGCTGTTGGCTGGTGATGAGCCTACTCCAGGTTCCGTCGGCGTTGTTTTGCCGCATGCTCGCGTTGCCCGCGTTCATGAAGTCCGGATTCGCCCCCTTGTCGTCGACGGAGAAAGGGAGCCAGGGATCTGGGTCACCATCGTAAGTGGTGATCTCCAGGCCAAAGCGTTGCATGATGCAGTTCGGGAGGCAGCAGGGCCGGAGGGGGTGCGAGGGCGTGGTGATGTAGGAGGTGAGGCAGCTCTCCGGGCAGCAAGAGGACCAGCAGCTGCTCGAGAAGCAGCAGCAGCAACAGCACTGCTCCAAGCAGCAGCCGGCGCGCTCCTGCAGATCAGCGGTGACCCACCAGGGGAGCCCTTCTCCGCCATTCGTGGTCGCGCCGGCATCTTGGTGCAAGTCGAAGAAAACGTGCACACCGGCTCTGGCAAACGCGCCGACCGTCGCATCCAGCGCAGCTGCCTTGAGGACCACATGACCCCTAAAATTGGGGTCATATATATATATATGTGTAAACATATATATGTATATACCCTATAGTACTAGAATTCCTATTCAGGTATTATGAAACATAAGCCCTTTTGGGGTTCATGTCGTGCACAAGGTGCCCATGTCGGATCGATCGCCGCGCCGTTCTTCGGAAAGGCCGCGGCCACGACGACCCCGAGGCGGACGCAGGGCACCACGGCTCGAGGGGAGCCATCCGCAGCAGGTGGCGGTGTGTAGGCCATCTCGGAAGCACCCTGGGCCATGGACCTTGCAGGCCAAGTATGAACCCTAAAATTGGGGGTCATATACCCTAGACTACTATAAATTCCTCTTGAGGCCATATGAAGCATCAACTCTTTTACTACGATAACTCCTGTTTAAGGCATATTATGAACCATAAGCCGTTTATCTTAAACCCTAAACCCTAAACCCTAAACCCTAAACCCTAAACCCTAAACCCTAAACCCTCATATTTGGTCCCCAGGGGACTTGGCATCGGCTTCAACGACCTGCAGGGGCGGGAACCATGGTTGGGCCTTGAAAACGTAGTTGCCGCCCATCAGCACGATCTCCTTCCTTGAGGGCACCCAAAGGAGCCCCAAAAAATGGCTTTTAGGGTTTAGGGTTTAGGGTTTAGGGTTTAGGGGTTTAGGGTTTAGGGTTTAGGGTCGCATATGCCCTGTACTACTGTACTCCCTCTTAAGGTAACATGAGCCATTAAAATACGATGAGTCCTATTCAAGTATACGGTACTCGAGATGCTACTTTTAACATAATCCCTCTTAAGGCACATGAACCAGAAACCCTTTTCAGGTTGATGTCCCTGAACCCTAAACCCTTTTAGGCTTCACGTGGTCCAAGGTTCCCATCCAGCTTGAAAACCTCACCATCGATGACGACGCGACCCTTGCGAAGTGGCGTAGCTTCCGAGGCCATGGCACCAAAAGGAAACGAAACGATGAAAACAAAAGTTGAGGGTTTAAGGTATTTAGTGGTGGGGTATTTAGGGTGCTTAGGGGTATTTAGGGGTGTTTAGGGTGCTCAGGGGTATTTGGGTATTTAGGGGTATTTAGGGGCATAATTTAGCGGCATTTAGGGCTTCTTAGTGCTTTTCGGGTAAACCAGCTATCATGAAGAGTCCTAACCGTCCTAACCTCAACCCCACCCGAGATCCATCCGATCAAGGCTTATTTCATGGCAAACCCTAAACCCTAAACCCTCAACCCTAAACCCAAAACCCTAAACGATGCTAATGCAAGGATTTCCTGGCCCCCTCCAAGGTCCAGGCTGCAAAGCCAACCAAACGTTAGGTGGAGGTCCCTAAACCCTAAACCCTCAACCCTCAACCCTAAACCCTAAACAAGGTGATTTGAGCGTGGTCTAGGGGTGTAAGATCTAGGCTTTAGGCTCGAGAGGGTCGAGGGTTCTACTTTCTTGGGGTTGCATTCTTCAAGCCCAACATGCCCAAAACAAAAGGCTCGGGATTCCGGGTTTCGGGCCCTAAACCCTAAACCCTAAACCCTAAACCCTAAACCCCCATCTTGGCCAACCCGGGAATACCCCGACAATCTTCGGGACAAGATCTCCCCCGTGTGTCCAGGAGACTTTTTTTTTTTTTTTTGGGGGGGGGGGGGGGGGGGGGGGGGGGGGGGGGGGGGGGGTGGGGGGGGGGGGGGGGGGGGGGGGGGGGGGGGGGGTTGTGGGGAGGGATACTAGGATGGCCCCAAGGGTTTAGGGTTTAGGGTTTAGGGTTTAGGGTTTAGGGTTTAGGGTTAGGGGTTTAGGGTTGAGGGTTGAGGGTTTAGGGGTTAGGGTTTGGTTTGGGGTTTAGGGTTTAGGGTTTAGGGTTTAGGGTTTAGGGTTTAGGGTTTAGGGAAATGATCCTCTTGAACCCAATAAGGGAACATGTGTAAACTATCCCCAATACCTACCTAGGAAGCAAGTTCAGGCTTTAGGGTCTGGTGCTTAGGTTCCTTTCTTTGCCCCGGCCACCGGGTTTAGGGTTTAGGGTTTAGGGTTTAGGGTTTAGGGTTTAGGGTTTAGGGTTTAACTGCTTGCGTTCTCAAGTTCGGAAACCCAAGACACGGACATTGTACCACCCTCGACGCCCTACTTTCCGTACTTAGACTTCCGCAATAATACCCGAAGGGTCCCTGTACCCACATCGTTTATACTTGGGCCTTAAAGGGGTTCCCATATAGTAGCTTTGGGGCCCAAGTATATAGGTACATGATCCTTAGGGATACGTAGTCCGCTTTACGGAACGTTCATACCACCCTAAACCCTCGACTCCGGGAAACAGGAACGACAAGTGGGGGTCTAGGTCACTGCTCCTCATCGGGAAGTGCGCTAGGGTTTGGGGCTTGTAGGCAAGCCCCTATGCCCTAAAGCCTAAAACCTAAACCGGTGCTGCAGGAGTTGATCCAATGCTAAACCAAGAAGATGTTATCCGGGCTTCGGGTTTAGGCTTCATATACAGTTTCTGCGCAGGGTTGCTGCTTGAACCCGAAACCCAAAAAAACCTATAAACATTATAAAATCCGAAAAAAAAACTAAAAACATGTTTTAAAAAACCTCAAAACCCTAAAAACCCTACAAACCTTATAAACCCTATAAACCGCGCAAAACCAAACACAAACCCTGGCAAACCCTATAAACCCCGTAAACCCCTGCAAACCCTAAAAACCCTAAAAACCCCAAAAGCCCTGTAAACCAGAAACCCCCCAAAAAAACCCTAAAACCCCAGGAAACCCTATAAATAACCCTAGAAACCTACAAACCCCTACACCCCAAGCCTTCCCCCAACACCGTCAAAGGCTCGGCGCCTTGCGCCCGCCCTGGAGGCCAATGAGGTCTGCATGGCGCAAAGCCTCTTAGGGTTTAGGGTTTAGGGTTTAGGGTTTAGGGTTTAGGGTTTAGGGTTTAGGGTCTCCCGGGCGCGCGGTTGGTTAGGAGCTGAAGGTTCAGGAATCAGGGTTTCCATAAACGCTAAACCCTAAACCCTAAACCCTAAACCCTGTTTGGAACTCCGGACCCCCCTCTCCCCCAGGTTCAGTTCCTCCTTCAAGGGCTGCCTGATGTTCTTCTACTACTATTTTGGGAAACCGCAAGTCCTAGACCTAAACCCTAAACCCTAAACCCTAAACCCTAAACCCTAAACCCTAAACCCTAAACCCTAAACCCTAAACCCTAAACCCTAAACCCTACGTGGACTCCAAACTACCTACTTTCGGCTTTTTGGTGCACTCACGTAAGGAACGTGCATTCGTCCAGAACAGCAACATAAGGGTAGAGATTCAAGGTTTACCAAGGAGCTGGGGTGTCGTGTTCCTCGGCGTTCAGCTGAACCATTTCCTTACCCGGGCACATCACTGTGCCGACCCAAAATCCCCAAAATGACGGTTTGGGGTTTAGGGTTTAGGGTTTAGGGTTCAGGGTTTAGGGTTAGGTGTTCTCATCATCTCTTGCAGAAGGCATCCTGCGAGAAAGCCGCAAAACAACCACGGCTTGCCATCATTCGCAACAAGAGAGGCGGGATGTTCTCCCTCATACTAACAGTCCTCAATGGGCTGGGGGTACTATAATCCCTACTAAGGACTGTTAGTATAAAGCGGAACATCTCGATGTCCAACCTCAAACCCACAGATTGTCAAGCTCCCTGCGTTCATGTCCGTCACAGAACCCCACGCGAACTCGTGACACAGGGTTTAGGGTTGCAGATGTGCCAAACCATAGCTGGACAAACCCGTCCATCTCATTCCTTAGACAGTTCCAGTTCCATGGCCACGAGCCGTCCGAAATACCCAAAACACCTACACCTACACCCTCACAAGTCCTAAGCCCGAACCCTACGCCCTACACTCAACGATAGCCTAGATCGCCACAACATCCCGAAGCCTCAGCTGTAATAAACAAAAAACCTAACCCTAAACCCGAAACCCTAAACCCTTGTCTTTGCCTTGCAATCTCCCAAACATACCTCAACCCTCAGCCCCAGACCCTAAAACGCAAAAGCCCCCTCCCCTCTCCCTTCTTTTCAGTAGGCCCTGGAAAAATGTACATACTTTTGGGTATAAGTATCGAAAGCGGAGCCCAGCACCAAAAAAATCACAGTATAGTACTCCCAAACCCAGAACAAGCGTTACCCTAAACCCTAAGCCCTAAACCCTATAAACCCTCAACCCTAAACCCTAAACGCTAAACCCTAAGCCCAGTGTTTGAGCCTCCGTAAGGCACGCCGCGTCACCAACTTCCTGGTGGACCGTGGGAACTCGCAGCGGGCGGTTCAAGGTTGAAGACTAGGGTTTAGGGTTTAGGGTTTAGGGTTTAAGGTTTAGGGTTTAGATTATCTGGACTGGGAATCAGGACTTAAGGTTTAGGGTGCAGGGTTCAGGGTTTAGGGTTTGGAGTGGTTGGGATAGTATGTAAGTCAATAAATTTCTATTCCTTAGTATTGATTTGAGTTGAAGTACGTGCCCTTACAAATGTAACAAGTTCCCCCGCTATGACATAACCTCGCCCCCCAAGCCTGTCGATTCCCTAAGCCACCAGTTCCGGTGCATAACCCCCTAAAGCTCTGAACCCTACCGCGCTATAGAAGTGTACACCCTCAACACTATTAGCCTCTAACTTTACACCATAAATCCCAAAACCTAAAACCTTCTGTGGCCCAAACTTGGGTTGAAGGGTTCATAGGGCGTAGGATTGACGGAGGTTTTAGCGTTTCAGGTGAATCTGTGTTTTTGATGAATTCAATCTGCTGTTGTTGCTGCCAAAAGATTCATGAAATCCAATACACAAACACAAAGATAGAGATGTTAATATGTCACGTACGCATACAAAGCGTGACAGCATAACTCGAAAGAAACCCTCCCCGCCCAACCCTCTCCTCTGCGACTCCCAATTCTGCCAACACCAAGGTGGCACTGGAGAACGTCTTTGCCTGAGTTCTACACTCTACCCTAAACCCTAAACCCTAGCCCTAAACCCTAAACCCTAAACATCCCTAAACCCACTAAACCTTTAGAGCTTGGCATCTCGGGGTTGCGAGTTTAGGAGCTGAGGGTTCAACCCTAAACCCTAAACCCTAAACCCTAAACCCTAAACCCTAAACCCTAAACCCTCAGGACCTTGGATTCCTAATTATGAAGAACTAGCAGCCCCTGGGATCCCATGAGAAGCCGAGAGCTTTAGGGTTCTCAAGGGGCTAACGCAGGGACCCTTACAAGGGACCTTCGGGGTAATGTAGGGGCTACTTAGGTATACCATAGGAGAGAGAGAGATATATATATATATATATAGATAGAGTAGATAGATAGATATATATATATATATATACACATATGGTATATATTTATAAGGGGGTTATAGAAGGAAATCAGACAAACGGCCGCTTCTAGTATTCCCCCCCCCCCCCCCCCTTTTGCGCTTCCTAACCTGCTATTCAGGGTGCGCCTCTTATTCTAGGAGAGGGGGTTTCAAGGGCGTTCCCGAATCCTCCCCACAAGGCTCAGCCTGAGCTTCCCTGAGGTTCCCTACGTACCCAAACCCTAAACCCTAAACCCTGAATCCTGAACCCTAAACCCTAAACCCTAAACCCTGAACCCTGAACCCTGAACCCTAAACCCTAAACCTTAAACTCTACCCTAAACCCTAAACCCTAAACCCCAAACCCTAAACCCTAACCCAGCCAGCACGCCACGGTGGAATCCGCACGAAGCTCGGAGAGGACGCCCGCACCGAAGAAGATAGCCTTGGCTGTCAGGGCGGGGAGGGGTGTAGGGTTTCGGGTTTCGGGTTCAGGGTTCAGGGTTTAGGGTTCAGGGTTTCGGGTTTAGGGTTTAGGGTTTCGGGTTTAGGGTTTAGGATTTAGGGTTTAGGGTTTAGGGTTTAGGGTTTAGAGGAGAGGGGGGGCTCAGGTCCCCGTTTGGGCATGG